TATTTCTCAAGTTACAAGTTTAGGCTACACTTTTTTATTGATCTCATTTTAGACTACACTTTTATTTTTTGTAGCTCTCAAGGTCCGCGTCAGCTTGAACAGCAACTTATATAAATTGAAATTTGTTTTCTCTCAAAAGCGATTTTTAGCTTGCCTGGAGATTCTCGAGACGAAAGTAGAATTGAAAAGAGTTTACAACAAGTGACAATTGGCATTTGTTTATCCGACGTTTTGGCTAATCGTGAATTATACAGTCAGATCTTCAGACCGGCTCAGAAGTTAGAAAAGTATAGGCGGTCAGTATTTTTATATTCGAAAAGCGTATTTCGCCCGTTCGCTATTGTGCCGTGGCGAATGGACGCGGTTCTCTCAGCCGAACGGGACGAGATCGAAAGATCGAGGTATTGATCGTAAGCGGCTTGGTTTGTGGGGGCTCCTCCTTTGTGTCCACGATCGGCCATTGGCTGCGCTCGTAAATTCACACCTCGGCATAATCGGCGTGTTCCGACGAGCGGGACACATTTGGCAACTATTACGGCCGGTGACACTTACACCCCACAGCACAACCTTTCTTTCACATCCGAGAGACGGCCATTCAGAAATACCTCTACACACACATACTGCACGCACACCACTGCAGTTGCCAATACGCGTAAACGAGCTCCCTATACGGGCCTAAGATTATTGTCGCATCTCACCTTATTTCTTATACCACGTCTCTTTACCTTGCTAATCTGACAAGACGAGAAGTAAAATAAAATAAATAGGATTATTATAAATATCGCATTATCACGAGACTGCAGAAAAGCTTATAGACTCGGGACCAACTTATTTAATCAGGGGCAACTTCGCGCATTGCGCGAACGAAATCTTTTTCGTGCTTCATTTACCAATAACATGTTAAATTTCCCTTTTAGTAATTGCCACGTTATATGTAAATGTGTAACGGGAGAAGAGAGGGAGCGGGGGGAGTTACTCCTGATTTGCTATTTAAATCTTCATCCCGCGAGAAACTTGTCGAACTCTTACGTGCGAAAAGCCGCCTGTTTTTCTTTAGCGGTACGCTGCACGCACGCATTCACTCACTCACTCGTTCGCTCGCTCACTCACGCACCAACACGCGCGCATTAACGCGCGTGTGGTGTACGGCTCGTATATACGGGGGTTCCATAATATAAGTTCATCGCGGGCGCGCTGATGCGTACGTAATCCCGTGGTGCTTACCGATAGCATCACCAGGGTTTTATTTTCATTATTCATTTGTTCGGCCTCTCCCCATAGACGGGCCCGGAAAGCTTACACGTATAACCCCATGTTTCTACGTCGGTTTAATCAGATAAAACCCTGCCGGCGAAAATCGGCCGGGCGCTCCGCGGCATGCGGCGCGGCCGTTTTCGGTCGACGCGACGCGCAAAACGTGCAGCATTTGGACGCGGTCTCGCAATACGATTTAAAGTGTAACGAAGACAGATGTCTGTCACGTGTATTGATATACAAAAGAGACACGTATCTCATGAGGCATCGTCGATGATGCCGCCGAAGAGGGCTGTCAATTATTCAGCGACAATGCTGTTGCGCGAGACGTTTGCGCGGCTCGCAGAATAAATTGAAAATTTCTCGTTAAATTCGATGTAATCAGAATTATCTCGCGTGTCTACTGCATCGTATAATATCCTATTATCGAACGTGCGAAATAAAGCTCTTTCCAGCGATCGATAATTATATTCGTTGATTACGTTAATTGAATCGGTGTGATATTAAGCGCGATATTTATGCGCGGTGACTTGAAAGTAATTGTTGTTGTATATCATGCTTGTATAACGCGTGCGAAAGTTACCTGTTTACGGGCGTACGGCTCGCAGCGCGGTTTTTTTTTCCGCGCACACACGCCGCGAGACTTCATCAAATTCTTTAATTACCGAGTGAAGGATGATGTAGGAAGCGTGAGAGTCGCCGCCGGAAGGGCGCAGGGAGGGAGAAGAAGCGAGGAGAAATAAGAGGAACGTAATTAAGGGATTAGCTTAGTTAATGCAGACGCTGGCTTAACGAATCGTAATGTAGAGGGCTGTTACAAAAATATGTTTCGCCGAGCGCCAAGTCAGCCGCGCTTGATTAACGAAGTGCATGTCTCGGGCAAATTTTCCCGTTGTTCAGAAAAACTTACGTTCATGTATTAAAAAAAGGGGGAGGGAGGGGGGGGCAGGGAAAACGTATGCGTGCACTTATATATCTGATATATAAGTACGGCATGGAGCGCTTTTAATAAATGGTGATTAAGTTAGAAGCATGTTCAAGTTTTATAAAACGGCATGGAATATTTTACATATACGTTGAAATATTTCATTTACTAATCGTGTTTTTTCGATATCCATTACAATTTAGCGATGCGAAAATTTAATTTAACACACGTACAGTCCATCGGAGATGGATTTACTCGGCGGAAATGCTCATGCAATCCGTTTGGTTCTCGAGCGCCGAGGGATATTGGTCGTCCCCAAGGTGTCAATATATATCGTCTCCTCCTTTGGCTAAATACTCCGGGAGCAAGTATCTCCGGACCGTCATCGGGTACGAGGGCAATATCGCCCACGCTGTTTTTCCAACAAAACGCCACCGCACCGGTTATCCGGGCGTCTTAAGATCCCGGGGATAGGATCTTCCTCACGGGCCCGAAACACGATATTCCCCGGCATGGTCTGCCCACGTGTTTCGCATTGACCGTTAAAATTCGCCTCCACACGCTCTCGCTATCTGTCTCGTGCAGTGCTGGTAGGCGGTGTATTATTTTTCCACCGGCTCTCGCCAAATTGGCTCGCACGGAATCTCGAATTACGGACATTCGACACCGCCGCGCGAGGAGGGTAGAACCTCTATCGTTTATTCCTCCTCCTCCTCCTCCTCCTCCTACCATCGAAACCTACCCCCCTCGTTCCCCGTGGTCCATGCCCGCTCTCCGGCATGGCGGAAAAAATATTCCGCAATGTTCAATCGCTTTACTCGCACTCCGGCTGGAAAATGGTGCGGAGTTCTCGCCAGTTCGAATTGATGTTCCGATATATAAAAAGATATACTGTAACCGCGTTCGGAAACCGGGCTATGTTTTTCTTGTTAATAGAGACCGAATTAACTCCGAGACAAATACGATTTTTTAAATAAACTGAACTATACTACGTAAATGTAGTAGTGCAAACGTATAAATGAAAACTTTTTTTTTTTTAATCGAAACTCTGACGTGTACAGGAATTTTAGCATAATAAAAAATTATATTTCGTTTTATAAAGAGTAATTAAATTTCTTATCAAGCTTTTTTTGCTTGATAAGAAAAAAAAAGAAGATAAAAAGAGATAATTCTCGTCTAATAATAGAATAGAAATCAATGTTAACAAGTAAATTAAAATGGTACAGTAGGTCAGAAATATAAATAAATGTATACGTGCCGTTCGGGTAACACGGAAAAAAGGCGTGTTGCTGCAGAATTAAAATGGGAGCTGCATTATACTTACGGGCGTGTAAATCCAACATGGAGAGTTATTGTAATCGCGGGCTTCCGTTCGACGGAAGGCGCGGCGCATCTCTTCCTCCAGTGATTTCTTGCGTTCCTCTCTTTGCATGTTGTGACTCCCCCGGTAATACGACATCCTCGCCCGTGGGGTGCGCGGGGCTCTCTCTTTCTGCACGGGCGTAACCCAATAGGTTCTCCCATAGGAAGATCATACTTCGATACAAAGGCTGATCGCTACATCGCACGCGATCACGGTGCACGTCACGTAAACTGACGATCTTCATAGCACCATTTGCTGGCTCATCGCATAACACGCCAATATTGCGCCCCTTCTTGGAACGGAACGCGTAACGCCCTACACTTTAACGTTTCATCAACGACCGGTATATCGGCGGATGCGCGTACGAAAGATCGGCGGGATCGCGAGCGCGATTGTTCACATTGGTCTAGTTTTCACCGAAGCATTAATTCGCAACTAATGCGGTGTAGAATCAAATTTAAGTCGATGGAAATATACACTTGACGTTGCCCATTTCACTTTCACTTCGATCCACAAGCTTTCTCGAAGTGACAGCGAATTGAATATAAAATTTAGTCGGTGGAAACGGTCGAAAATAGGTTTAAAATAGATATTGCCAACCTCTACTTTTCTTTATTAAGAGTTACCATTAATTTAATCAATTAATCAATTAAAATGGAGATTAAACGTGACGTTTGGTCGTACGATAAAACGTTAACAATTAAAATTAAACGTTAATAAATATTTGAAATATCAATTTTTGTCACTTCTATACTCTACGTCGAATGAAAACAACACATTAAATTTTGATCTGCACCGAAGTGGAACTGAATTGAGAGTTCGGGGGAAACTAGACCATTGTGAACGTAAGAATGGATCGTTATGTTGCAATGAGCATTAGTCTAGACCGCGACCGTGATTAAAGATATTTCTTTTCGATGGTACCGTACAATATGTGGACCATCGACGAATCCTACAAAGCGTAATTTCTTTCTTACGTTTCGCGGCGGACTTGAGAAGTTTTTAACTCGATCATTAATAATCTCTGTTCCCCGGAGCGAGCGATGCTCGAGAAATATCTTTTATTATTTTTCGAAGACGGTATAACGTCTTCGAAAACGAAACCCGCATTCAGGCCTGACTTCAATTCTGTAAAAGGGCTCTTCTTGCCCGTCAATCGGAAGGTTACCGGGAACGGAACCCGTTCTGGCGGAATCTCGTAGCATTTCAATTAGTTGCGTGCGCGGTTCTCAAGATGCCACGCACGATAATTCGTGCGTACGGCCACGCGTTGCCGCGTCGTTACGCGGAAGAGAGGATCTTGCCGTCATTCAGGGCAAATGAGCCATTGCGTTCTTTGTATCCGCTTTTCTTTTGTGCCACGGCAACGGACGCGCCGCGCGCCGTGTGGAACAAAGGTAAAGGGGTTTTCAAAATGCGCCGATTCTTACCGGTAGAAAAAAAAGAGGTACAAAACAGTTTTATTCGACCGCAGAAGTTTCAGTTTTTATTATCGGACACTGGGAATGCCGCTCGAGTACTCGAATATAATACTTTGCTCATTCGGGTCCAGGAGGCATAAGAGACTTTTCTTATTTATTTTGATACATTTGGATACGTATAACAATTCATCATCTGTCGACATGGAAATTAGCTTTGGAACTGATTATTGTAATTTTCGAAAATTTTAATCTTATTCTTTTAATTATAATTTTAATCTTATTATTACAAACAAATTTTTACATTTTTCGAAGAAACTGATTTCCACATCGATAAATCAACGTTCCTTACTATTTTACACATTTTGCGAATCGACATATTTCGCCAAACGTAAAAAACGAAAACAATAGGATAATCTTTTGGAACGATTTTTGGTCATCGCAATTACGCTACATTACGTTATTACAAGGTAACCGTTACAACAAAGCTTTTCGAAACAGTCTGAAACGTCTGCTGTTAAGCTCGACGATTTTTCCGTCCACCCGTCTGTATGTTGTCCTTTCTCTATCCAATTTCAATTTGGCTTCATTCTTCGTTGCGTTCGTTCGTCTCGGACGCCAGTATTCGCACTAGATCATTGTTCGACTCCACGACGTTTTTGTACGTGACGGTATCCCCATTCCTTCCCTTGAAGCTCCATTGGCTTATTGGCCGTTTCAGGAGAACCAAGACCGCGGCGACGATCACGGCAACGATCAATATCGCGAGGCCCGTCCACAGAATCGGATAGATGACCGACGAGTCGTATTCGCATCCCAGCTCGTAGTTCGGTATTTCAGCCAGGAGCTTGGCGCGGTGCCGATCCGGTGCGTGGCATCTGTCGTACAAGTTTAACAAAGTGGTCGATTATGTCCCTTATATTCGCGGTATCTTTCAGCGGTAAAACATAGTTAAAATGCACTGTGACAGTAGTTATAATATTCATATCTTTTTATATTGTGAGATAAGAAATTTTATAATATATCATAATGATCTATAATATAAATTATAAGAATCCAAGTTTTTTTCATCATTAATAAAGTGTAATCTTATGATAATGAAAAAAAAATTCTCTTCACGGAAATTCTCGAGACATCTGAAGAAATACTGTGGAAGCTTGATGAAGAGTGCGCGAGTACATACATACCATGTTATTTTACAATATATTTTTATTGAGATGTAAAAGAGATATTTATGATATTTATTCAAAGAATATTGTAAATAATCGAAATGAATTCAAGAAAGCGAAAAAGCGTAAAAAAAAATTTAATTTGCTTTCAATTGATATATTGGCAACTCGTACCAACTGAGAGTAACGTCTTCGTCGATACCTTACCTGATGTCCCGACTGAGATTCCTGGTCGAGTTCAACAGGCCGATCCATTCCAATTTGCAGTCGCAGTTCCAGGGATTGTTCTCCAATTCGACGACGGGCGTCCGTTGCATCAAGGGGCGCAGCTCGACACTCAGGGTCTCGAGGCCGCAGTCTTTTACCGAAAGGCGTTGCAGCCGTGGCAGCACGATGCCGATCTGCGACCAAAGACCAAGCTGTACCAGCCGTTTGCAACCGATCAACGATAACGACTCCAGGCTGATCAGGTTCTCGAGATCGTTCAGCGCCAGCGACGTCAAGTTCGGCATGCGGTTCAGCCGCAGTTCTCGTAGCTGCGGTAGATACAAGCTTTCGAGGCTTATCACTTGCGTGCCAGATAAATCCAACTCTTGCAAATCTCTCGGTAACAGAGGTATCTTGCTGATCGGGTTCCAGGATAGGTCCAAAGTCGACAAGTTCGTCAAGTTCTTGAAGAAGTCCGATGAAAAGTACGGCGCGGATATGTTCCTCAGATCGAGATGTTTCAATGCCCTTAAATTCGAAAACGCGCTGTCGTGAATTCCATCCTCTATGGGATTATTGGACAAAGACAAATATTCGAGAATCTGAAAAAAAAATTTATATGACCTAGTTGCGTGATATACGAATGCGCGAAGTAGTAAAAAATCACAGATTTTTCACAGATCATCTCCGTGAGGAAATTGCAAATGTTTAAGAGATGATTAGAAAATTCCATAGCCATTCATTACCGTTAGATATTGCAGCATGGTCTCGTTGACGACAGTGAGCTTGTTGAAAGAAAGATCTAATATCTTCAGTTTCGGTATCCGGTCGTTGAGAGCATTATCGTCGATGTACTCCAGTTTATTGTGGCTCACATTTAACTCTCGCAGATTGTATTCTTCCTTACATAGGAAGAAAAATCGCTGAAGATGATTCTGAGACAAGTCCAGCGTTCTCAGTGCCCCCAGATTAGTGGAGCAATCCAGGAAACTGTCAAATTTATTTCCCCTCAGATTGAGATCCGTCACTTCCTGCAGATTGATCGTGGTCTGCACTTTCGTAAAGAAGTCTTCTTTCTTCATTTTCCGAAATGAAAGGTCGACCTGCAATTGTAAGGCAAGCGCCTTTTTAATCTCACTTATTCATGGTAAAACGGCATCGGATTGTTACTCGAACACGTGTGCGATCGAACAGAGAATTTGACAATATTGAAACTAACATCTCATTAGTTTAGTAGCGTTTCGCATATATTTATGTCGTATGAAAATAAAAAAAAGAAAAACTGGAAATATATAATTTTAGAGAATTTAGAGACGTGCTTCAGCGCATTTAAATCATGAAAGATGATTGTTCGTGCAAGAAACGATAAAATTTAAAAAAGCGATAAGCTGATATTCAACCGGAAACTGATATCCGCAACACAAATGACGGGAGTGTCACCGGGTGTCCCGGAAAATCGTGAAACGTTCGAGCGCGCGATTTGATTGGAAGAATCGATATCGCAAAATTAAAAATCAACCCACCGTTTTCGCCGAGACGGACGAAAGGACGATGACGAAAAACGCGAGAGATCCGAGCCACATCGTGCCAGGTGGTTAGTTATCTGACTAGTCGATATTTTTTCTTTTTTTTTGGAGCGATCCGATCTCCGATGCACCCGATCGGCCGACCGCACCACCAGGACCACCTAGCGCGAACTATGCTTGCCGCACCACGATTCGATGGAATGGCAACGAATTCATCCGCGACACTCTCTGCCGAAGATTGCAGTGCCGAATTAAGAGGGGGGTAGAAGAGTCATATGCATTATAATGCAACTCCGCACTTCGATCAGCAACGTATATACATACAGACACGTCTCTGACTAATCCAAGCCGCTTCAGAAAAGTCGCTATTTTCCACTTTATCTCGACTTATCTTCCTCGCTCGATCTGATCTGGAAATTGTATTATCATATTAATTACAATGTCGATCGAGACGTCGCCGATCTCGCTTCGCGGTTCGTGTAACGAATCGGCAACGAAATTCTGCGAGAATCGTGTAACTTAGTTGGCAGTTTAACTACCCACACATATGTTTTATATACAAATCAACAAAGTTCGAACGTGACCGAAGTCACGTATTGTCTAAGGTTGCGCAGACAAATATATGTGTATACATGCATATATATTTTTTTTTTATAAAATGAGGTGATTGGCGCCGCGAGATTCGCAGCGTTAATTTAATCCATGCCCGGTCACAAGTTCAGAATCACCGAGGCTAACGCACCGCTTCTCTGATAAACCAGCGATTACGCGAGTCGCGCGCACCGTAAATTCGTCCCGGGCCTCCGGTCAACGATTGTCTCTCGCTCTCTTTCTCTCTCTCTCTCTTTTTCTCTCTCTACGCCACAATTAATCGCGGATATTTTTTCAATTATTAAGCGACGTTTGAGCGATATCTTTGTGTTCGTGAGATTTATGGATTGTTAGAACGTGACGAGTTCGTACAACGTTGCTTCTCGCGACGAGACTTGCGCCCGAAAAACGTTAACATATCTGCTCTGCCATGCTCCAGAAAATAAAAATACAGGCTAAGAGCGATAAACCTCGCTCTTCGTGCCGCGCGTCTAACGGCGATAATACTGCTCATGTATCTTGTCGTAATTAACGTCGTATCGGTGGACAGTACGTAAAATTATGCGTATTTTCGAAGCTTCATAATCTTAAAGATTAGAATTTGATTATAAAATTAAAGTGTGCATTATTTTTCGAACTTTATAATTATAGAAATTAGATTTTATAATCAGGATTCATGCATTTTTGGAACTTTGTAATGTTTTAGTCGTTTTAGAGATTTATAATTAATTACGTAATTAGGCTGTTTTTTTTATTACGCAGTTTTGGGAAATAAATTCGGGTGAAGAAATAAAATGTTAAATGCATATTAATATTTTATTAATATTTTAAAAAGAGAGAAATGCAACATATATTGATTAAATTGCAAAATATTTGGTGGAAAAATTTTTTAGCATTGCACATATCGGTCCAACTTAGTGGGAAATCACTCGTGTGAAAGTAATATAAACAAAAAGCTCATTAAAAAGTCAGACATTTATTTACAGAGCCGTATCTTTTTTCGCGCCCGCAGCGGATAATTGCATATACATAGCAATAAATATAATGGCGTTCGGAATGCACGCTACGATAAGACAGAGGGAGAAGGGGAAGTGTCGTTCACTTTTTCGGGGTTTGCGGGGTGCTGGTGGCCTTGAAAACTAGCGGGTTCGACACCCGAAATATGCTGGGCAACATTGTGGCTAACGTTCCGAACACCTCCTCCGACATTCCCTGCAAGCGATAAGAATGATATAGCGACGTGAGTGACAATCTTTTTCCTTCTTCTTTCAATCTCGGCACGGATTACGCTTATCTCGCCGGACTTACTTTCGGCACGAGAAACTGTAGATTCTTCAGCTCGGCCCCACCCCAGGACGCCATCTCGATCATGAAGCCTTTCACGCACTTGAAAACTAACTCTGCCCGCTTCGTGCACCATGCGACCGTCATATCCTACGGCGGCACGAACGATGTAGATTGTTTATATTTTTCGCCTAATTATCTAAGAATTATCCGCCTGAATTATCCAAGCGATAGATTACCTCTGACATTTCATGGACGAGCAGCACGGGTATAGTCAGCGTCGTCACGTCGTTGCAACACGCCGTCTTCAAGATGTTTCGCAATCCCAGAATAGCGGGATGTCTCGAGTTGATGTCGCCTAAAGTCAATATTGTGCATTTAACTCCGTAATCCGTTATACATACACGGGTATAATTTATTAGTTATTTACCGGATCTCAGAGAATCGTTGACCACCATGTGAAACACCACGTGAACTTGCGCCAGATTGGAATGCCTCGTGATAAAAACGTCGCCTGTTTGCAGGCTCTTGCTCGACGTGGATTTTTTCGCCTGTAAACAACACGCATACGATTTTGCATGCCGATATTTTGTCAACCGTAAATTAAATTTTTAAAATACTGTCGCCTACATGGGAATCACTTGAGCCTTCCCTGTGATGCGCCTGCCTCCAGGCAACGGCATCCTTCACGTCTTCCCGAATCTTTTCCAACTGCTCGTCGATAGACGGAAAGTGAAATTCCGTGGTTAATTGGCATATCGAGCATAATTCTGCAACGGTATGCTCAAGTTTATAAGAGGGGCATAAAAAACCAGTGATAAAACAATTTGGAAGTTGCAGTCTAAGCACCTTTCGTTATTCCAGAATAACTGCCTAAATGATTGTCGCTTAGGAGGACCAATCCACAGAGATCGTTCGAGTACAGTCCTAACGCCGTTTGCAATCTTTGCGGCGTTGGATCCATCCTAAATTTATAATATATTTTTATTATTATTTTATTTTCCATCATAATCGATTAAGGAAAAATAGATTGTCGAGAGATATTAAGTTATATTTCAAGTTATATCTTATGCTTCGGTAAAAATTATTACACGTACCCGGATTCGCTATTTTTCGTACGACAAAAATCGAGCACGTCTCCGGTCAGTATGCGTATGTTGTGCATTTGTTTCATCTGAGATCCCAAATGTATGGTGAAGCTTTCTTCTAACAGGGGATAATCTGTCGTTTGTTTCTCCTCGCTATGAACGAATTTGTCTAAAGCCGGACGCAACGGCGGCAGCGGCACCATAGGCGAACCCCTATCGAGATACACACGATACATTTCCTTTTCATCTCGATAAGATTTTTTTTTTAATTTTCTTACTGTAAACTGTGATTATCGAAACGCGAAAAAGAAAAACCTACATTGGCGTGGATACCATACTGGTCTGTTGCTCTTCGAGCAGCCTCATGATCCAATTTCGATACTGCCGCCGTTGATCTAATCTCAAAGCGTCGATTCGGGATCCCCAGTAACCCTGTAATAGGCTCTGCTCCTCGAAATGACGACCAGCCATGTCGTTTATGGACTTTTCGGTAGATCCTGCTTCGAGGGCCTCGACGGCAACGCGCATCTCGTCGGTTTGTCTGGAATTTACATGCGATTCTTCCTTCCAAAAACTGATATTTTTTTTCTTCCTCTTATTTTAGTGAAATAAAATAATTGCTAATTAATAAATAAACAGATTATCAGATGAAATTAAGTGAACTTTATACATATCTATGGCTTTGTATTTTCTAGGTTTCGCACTCTTTAAGCCTATATAAAGTGCATACATTAAAAATTGTGAGAGATGGAAAGAAGAATCGTAAGATGTTACCAACTTTTGCGTGAGGTGTTCGTAGTCGGTATCCCTCATTTGAATTACTTCGGTAACGTCTCGTCCAAATTTGTGTTCCGCCTGCAGAATCGGTTCTAAGGACGGGGAATGCACTAGTCTGTGATACGCCGCAGCAAACAATTCCTCGTCTGTGGTCCCAATGGGATCGGAATATTCTACCGTCTTCTGCTTGTATATTTTCTCCCAGTTCTTAATTATGTCCTCTAAATCTAGACTGCCTGCCTTGGCGGCTTCGATAAGTTTCTCCGCCTTCTCGTCATGAAACTGCAGCGTAAGCTCCTTGATATTACGCTGCAGGGCCCGCAGTAAATCCGATTCCACGTAACATGGTAGTTTGAACGATGACATTATACGATGCATCAATTCTTTGACGGAGCCGTGATACGGTATTTTTAACGGGACTTCCAGCGTGTATTCCTGATTCGTGGTGCATGTTGGAAATTTGTAGACGAACGTTCTCTCGACGCACTCCTCTTCTGCCTTATTCATCGCCTGTTTATTTATCATGAGTGAGAATTTTATAATGAATTGATATTTATGAGCAGTATAGATGTAAAACGATATGTAAAACGATACATTTTATAAGCAAGTACAAGTGAAGCAATCATTTATATAGTTAATAACCGCGATTAGAGTAATAAATTCCACATAATTAGTTCTTATCAGCATGTACATAGTCATCTATAAGACTCAAAAAAGAGTGGTACACTTTATCCCGCCAAGGTCAGATCTTTCACAACATTCGGGTTAAGAGGGCAAAGATAATTCTCAGTAGCAGCTTTTGATGATATTTATTGTCTATATTTATTTCAACGATAGCGGGGCAGTCAATTATAAACTTTAATTAGCTACAAATTTAAGAACGCCTGTGCAACATATAAATTCATCAAATACTATCTAAGACAAGTAAACGTGATATGTTTGTCACGTGAAAAAAATTTATAAAATATCAGCAGAAAGTGAGCATCAAGCACTTAGGCCATTCGAAATAAGACTACTTTTCCTATCAACTTTTATTGCGACTCAGACATATACATTGAGTATAAGTTTTCAATTATAGTTTAGACTCGAGTTTAGACAACAAAATAGAGTAATTATTTTTTTTTAAGCATTCATTCGCTCCTACTTTATCGATTTACGGGGGCGCTAGTATGAGCTGTGGCATGTGACAAACGTCAAAATATTGACCACCGCACAGTAAACAAGCGCGTGCTTGTGATTTAATTTGTATGTACTGTAGAATAATTCAGACAAGTACGATCCACAATTCATTGAATTGTTAGTAGATGCACACATTTATCATAACCTCTATTCATTTTGCTTCATGTACATTTCGTTTGACATATGTACATTTTTCCCATATTTTACAATCAATGCTAAAAACAAGGAAACGACGTATTTACATCAATGTAACAGAGGATAAATTCACGTACTGACACTCATTGCTCTACTGATATTGATATGCGTTATGTCCGTTTCTACCGATGTAGATTAACATTAATTCGGGTTTAACTTGCTTTGTATCTTTTTCTAGTTTTAAGAATTAGAAAAGGATAAAAAGTAAATAAAATCGAGATTGAAGTTAACCTACATTGGTCGAAATGGACATTAGACGATTATTATATGCTCCGTTTGTGACCAATCTGTCAACTTGCTGTTAATGAACATAACCTCAGTAACCCGCACACACAGATTCGCAATCTGCCAATCGAATGGACGAGACAATTTGACGATTTTTTTTAAATCTAAATTTTTATATGAACCTGAAATAGATACCGTTCTCCAAATTTTACTTTTCACGTTTCTGCGGCAATTAGAGAATACACTATCTACATGACTGATGACAACAATCTTCGACGCCCTCTCCCCCTTCCCTTTTCTCCTTCTCCATAACAGTCGTCGACTGCGTTCAGAAAATACGGATAATAGTAGAGAATTTCATAGGGGAAGAGAGTAGCAAACTTGTCACTTAACCCAGTCTTGTCATTGGCCTAGTTTACTGCTAGTTTAGTGCGCCAATCATGGCCGATTCTGATGGCGGCTCTAGTGCGTCATTATTAACAAATTAATTTTTTTTCTTCTTTTTTTTAGTTAAACAACAAAAATTAATAATTCTAACCATATTAACGCAATACTAGATATTATCAAGTTAATTTCCAAAAAGTTAATTCATAGTTTGGTCGAAATCACTATGTTTTCTGAACGCAGCTGGCAGTATTTCTGCATGGCGTTTCCAATCTTGTTTGCTCACGCATTCATTTGCCGTTGACGTACGCATTTTTCGATATACGACTGTGCATCTAGAATTCGACAGAATTTGACGCCATAGAGAGATTCTGTCATTCTGTAACGCGTTTTTGGCGGCGATTCGACGAGTATTTTTTTGCACTGATAAATAAACAATCTTTCAGAATGTTGGATCATAAGCAGACGGAAGAGCTCACGGATCACGAAGCCGAGTTGTACGACAGGCAACTTCGTCTGTGGGGTTTGGACTCGCAGAAACGGTCGGTAGCCCGGTAGCCTAATTCTTAAGTGGGGTACCGGTGTTTTGTGAAAAATCGCAAATTACAGGCGCGATACGCGTAACGCGGCTATAAAAAGATTCCTGGAATAGCCGTGATTTGTTTCTCTTCGCTATTTAGCGATTACACTGCATGCTTTACATACATATATATATCTTTTAATGGGCAAAACTTCGTTTTAGAGTGTAAAATTCGTATAGAACTCTAAAGCGTTTCTCTTAAAACGCCATTGTTTTCTTGAATTATTTTTCACCTATTTATCTTTCACAGATTGCGAGCTGCGAAGGTTCTTTTGATAGGACTGGATGGTTTCGGTGCGGAAATTGCGAAAAACATTATTCTATCTGGAGTCAACAGCGTTACGTTTTTAGACCACAGGAATGTGACTGAGTTGGATAGATGCTCGCAGTTCTTCGTACCGAAAGAAGATATTGGAAAGAATGTAAATGTCAAACAGAGAGATATTGTTCCACCTTGCCGCACAAATTAAACGTGTACTGACATTATTGTCTACTTGCAGAAAGCCGAAGCATCGTTGCCACGAGCGCAAAATCTGAATCCTATGGTCAATGTTAGCGCAGACTCGGGCAAGGTTGAAGATAAGCCTGACGAATACTTTGGACAGTTCGATATAGTATGCGCTATGCACTGTACTATCACACAGCTGAAGAGGATCAATCGAGCGTGCAGAAGTCAAAAAGTCAAATTCTTTGCTGGAGATGTCTGGGGAGCGCTTGGTTACGTATTCATAGATTTACAGGAACACGAATATGTAGAGTGCGTATACTTATATATTTTTGAACTTGACACATGTATTGTTAAAAGCGAATCTCTTTTGTAAACGAATGGAAAATCTTTCAGGGACGTGTCAAAATCAAAGAAGGTGACGATACGAGAAGGTGGTGACCCTATGGGGAAGGAAAAGATCGAAACCATAATAGTTAATAAAAAGTACACGGAGACTTTTGTACCGTTCGAGTTCATCCTAAATGTTCCAAAAACGTCTCTAGTTAGGGAGGAAGAAATCTATTATATGATGCTAAGTATGTTCTTTAAAGCAAGAATGTTTTAAAGTGAGAATTTATATTTAATGGATGTTCTAGATTTTTTTTTTTTTCTAGTACTGCTGAATTATCGCGAAAAATATGGCGAAGATCCATTGCCTAGCGAAAGAGGTTGTGAGAAGCTGAAAAATGAAGCTTCTGCAATTATTAAAAAATACGAGTTAGGCGACAGAATAGACCATTTAGTGGAGTACGTACAACAGCTTTGACATGTAAATTAATCAAATTCATATGTATAATAATTTTTTTTGTCATCACAGGGGCGATTTGTATGCGCAACTCAGTCCAGTTTGTTCGGTCGTCGGTGGTGTCATGGCTCAGGAAATAATCAAGGCGGCGTCGCAGAAACACGCTCCACTCAATAATTTATTTACATTTAATCCAGACACATCATGCGGAGTTATCTTGAAATTGGGCTACTAATCAAACGCGGTGTGTAGATCTGAGTATACTAAAAGGTTTTCTATCAATACTGTGATACACACTAAATACATTATATGTTCACCCTATTTGTTCATCCTTTTTCGTAAGTGAAAAATCACAAAAACTTATTTTATCAACATCATATTTTGAAAATAAAATTTCTTTATACTTATATACGAATTTAACATCCACTGTGCATTTTATATGTCACATATTTATCTTATGTGTGTAATATATTTTGTATGTGAGTACAGAAAGCGCATAAACGTTTTTACGCGCGTTGGTATATGACTCACTGTCGAGTTTTGGGTAAGGCAATTTCAAGCTCGCTTTGTGGATTTTTTTCGTGCGCACTCGGCTGGAAAACACGTCGCGAAACGTAAAACGGGGATTGAAAAGTGGGAAGGGGAGCCGATTAGGGTTTGCCTCGTTATGCTTTATCGGCTCACCGACATTATTTTCAAGGGAGCGCATTCCACGCGTTTGCACCCTATTTCCCCGAATTTTCCTGGAAAACAACGTATAGTTGATTTCGCGATAGTCTAATTCGCACGGATACGCGTAGTAAAAAAATTTTATCACGCAGCAATGATATAATAACATAATCTGTCCACGGCATGTGAATTATTACTGTGTCATCTACTTCAGTATTTCTCTTTACGCGATTTATCTACATCTATACATGTTCGCCAAAGTATATTACGTGTGCTATTTTGCACGTACACGCGCGCGCGCGCGCGCGCGCGCGGGCGAAGTGATTGATTTGATGTTCAGCCAGGAATTATGATGTATCGTCTTTTCCCGTGCACCACGATGTCGTTGGCGCATCGTGTGCCTATCGCCGCGCTATGTAAATGCAAGGGTAGACATATAAATCGCTTCGCTCGCTACTCTCCTCTCCCGTCGCAGGTACACATACATGACGTGTTTCTTAACGATGCGGCCACGTGCGTTCACGGCTGTCGAATTATCTCGCGCGACGTTTTATTTCGTGCCCGTCGGGAAACCATTAGCCGGCGCGACACGTAAACGCTCCTCTAATTTGACATTTTGTTAGCACACGAGCGAGCTAACGCAACCATGCTAACGCGCGCGTCGAGGGTGACGGTGGTGGTTCGTGACCGATTTGCCGTCACATTGCGACGGGCGCGGCGAATCGCATCGACTGGCGATTCATGTTAAATTGAAACAGTCGCGATGCCGCTTGAAATTCGCGATCAATCCGCGTCGAATTCACTTCGTTCTATCGGGATTAGGTAGACCCTTTAATTTCTCATTAACAGCAGCTTCACGCGGATTACTTGCGAGAAATGAGATTACGACATGATAGATTACATCATAATCGTTTGTTTGCCTCGTTTGCAGTTTTATATGAAAGAATTATCTGTTATGTAAAAGTAAATTGTGAATCTCCATTCGCTTTTTTGTACAGATTTTTATTACGGATTCAGCAACGATGCGTGCTTTCCGACGGAAAACATTCATCCAGCGTATATACACGAGTATGCGAACGTACCATAGACCACCGTTAAGAGATATGCGATGAAGTACCTTCGCGGTTTATGCGATCGCGTGATTATTATCTGACTCTAAGTGGAGTAGGAGACGTACTGGTACTCCCCGTGACTCATGCAAGGAATTCACTGAGGCTACCGCCGTTATACATGCCCGCTGCAGAATCGATATGACACGTACACCTTTAGGAATGCTAAACTACAGTTCCCTACTTTCCCCCCCACAGACAGTACGTATGATTTCATACACTTAAATTATAGTTTACATCTCATATTCGCATTCGTTCCAGAGTTAATTGCAGGACAGATATTTAAAATTTAAGCATGTTTAAATTTTTTTACATAACGCAATTTAATTTATATATATTTATAGATATAACAAAAGTAAAAAATTTATATATAGATAATAAATATAAAAAAAAAATTTTTCGCACACATTTCGCGCAATCTCGAAAATACTGGAACGATTTGATTAGAAACATTATCTTAGAAACGTGTGGGAAACGGGCGTCACATCCCGAAACTCATCCGGCACTCCTGTGCTGTCATATCCTCCGCGCGAAAAGATTAAAGATTCCCGAAGGGCGCGCCCTTCGCACATCGTATCCGCGCGTTGATTTATGACGCGACGAAAATTATTGCCGCTGTTAAAATACCACCGGGCGCATTTACTGACAGACATACGTCGCCCTTGTAGAGGAGCACGATGGCCCAAGAGTCCCAAGACCGGCGCTTTAAGCCGATCTTAAGTGCCGAACGTGAACGCTAATCACGCCGATACGCGCAGCGTTTAGCGTCATTATCGAAATTTACGCGCGACACCGATTTCCCTCTTGCGTTGCCGACAAGAATGCGACATTAAATTCCGACGTTATCGCCCGGACGGGAGCTTTTAAATCCCGCGTGTGGACGCCGACGTTCGAGCAAAAAGGGTCCACGGAGTCGCGAAAAAGCATTGTCGCTGCGGCAAAAATTGCGTACGTGCGGCAACTGCTTACGACTTCTTTTGCCGGTAGCGGTTTCTATTTGTACCGTGCCGTAACATGTTTTCCGCTTATCAGTATCTTATTGTCGGCGCTGTACCGCGCTTTCTTTATTAACCTTGTTTGTACGCGGTTACGCCGCCGCGTCGCGGCCGCTTAAAAAAAGGGACCATGCGTTCTGATAGCGCGATTGCTGAAGAGAAATGTTCGGGGCAAAGTTACCTCACGTGTAGAATTAAAACGTCATATCTGATAGGAAAGACGATGTTTTAATTTTAATATAACTATAGATAACAACTCTACAAAAAAATATCACGTTCGAAATTAATAGATATGAATTCATCCCTCGAAGCAAACAATAGCAGTTTAACTAAACGACAAATAAAAAACAATTTCGATTTGATAATTCAAGATTTTACGAATGATTTTTAAAAAATTCTTATTTTCCTTCGTATATTATATACACGATATTCCGAAACCGAGTCTATCGTTAAAAGAACATCCCCGCGGCGACTTTAGAATTTTTTTAGATGTTATAAAAAGAAAATGTAATTTTTCTCAAACCGATTCTTATTATACTAGCGATTGCCAGACATCCTTATGTGCCATCCACGGTACCCCATTACATGCCGCTTCGCGTTGTTTGAAGCGACTCGTAATGCCTCGGCGAGGAAGGCGCATAGGTGAAATTCTGCGGGTTCCGAGGGTGGCGTCGCAGAGGGACGCGGAGGGCATAAAAAGATTTCATGGCTCGTTTTCTGACCGAGGGACATAATATTTTTCGTGGTCGGACATTCGAGGCGCGTGGACCCCCTTTCTCTCTCTCTCTCTCTCTCTCTCTCTCTCTCTCTCTCTTCTACCTTTCTTCTTGCTCGCTGCATTAACAAAATAACGTAATAAAATCTGAGTGCTCTCCATCGCCTTCTGCCCTCCTGCTCCCCTCTCAAGCCCTGTTCCCTGTTCCCGTTCTCTCTGCAGCTATCCCCCATCGCCCCGTCTTTCTTCTTTTTCTAGGTGGGCGCTCGTAAAGTCCGATACATTGTGCGCGCCGAGAGTTATATTCGTCATGGTTGTAACTGTCGACGGCGGTGGACACGCGATCGGCGAAAGGATCGATGTCCTGCGACGTCTGCGATCAGCCGGTAGCGGCACGGTGAGTCGCCTTTTATTCCTGATTAATTCACAAACGGCGACGGTATACGAGCGTGCTCGTGCCGTTGGTTCTATGACTTATTGACTTCGCCCTGCGTCCGTTTTTTAACGTTTTAGCGCGGGCGATTCTTCGATTATATCGGAGTTTCCTCATACTCGTCTCATTTTCGCGAAATTCCTTGCAGTTTAATCATAGTAAAGAACACTTGTTCTCTCTGTCGTATTCCCAGTAATCATGTATTACCGTTCGCGTGCGCATAAACACAATGCGAATGACTCCTCCACCGTTGACGTTGGGATACGTAGAAAATAAATACGCCGCGTGAAACGTGTCGCGTCTCTCACGGGCCGTATATACGAAACGCGTCGCGCTGCGGCTGTAAAGCGCTCGTCCGCGACAACGCGACGTTTTCTTCTTCGAGTTTCCGAGCCATTCGGGAAGGAGAGTCGGGAGTACGGGGGAGGGTTGCGCCTCCAGGTCGCGACATTAATTTCGTCTGCGAGCCGTCGCACAGCGGCTTCCGAGTTTCGGATTTCGAGCACGCCCGAGGAGCGCGATTCGCCGCGATATTGCCGGGGCTTTACGAGCAGCCATCGGTGCAATTCAGGCAGTTTTTAGGGTCAAACGAATAGCTAATGCAAATACGGCTTCTCGCGCCCGGCATTATTTCACCTCCCCCTTCCGTGACCGGCCGTTAGTCTGGGCTTCTCGGCGTCGAGAAGCCTCATCCTCCTCCTGTTCCTCCTTTTGCTCCTTCGTTCGTCCGTCTATCCGTCTATCCTTTCCTTCGCCCCCCTCGCTGCAGACATTACGCGAAATCTTAATGCCCTTCGTTATCAATTAAGATACGGTCGTTGCAATTAATTTCGTGGCCGGTCACCCTGTCTCCTCTCGCTGGAAACGGCAGACGGAAACGGCGTCGTCTTACGCGAAAGGAACTTTCCTTCGCAACGTGTACATGAATGAGATTGCGCATGTGACTGTAACGATCTCCTTGTGGCGGCTTTGAATGCACGTTGATTTGTGGAAACCGGAAAAGCATCGGTTTATACAGCAGTTGCAATTGAGCGCGCGAATGAATCAAAGATTCGGCGAACCTATTAGTGTAATGGCCCTCGATGTAAATCACGATTGACTGTTTCAAGTTTCAAGATGCGTACAGAGGCTCTAACGTCAGTATATAATAAAACGTGAAAAAAATAATTGTCTTTTCTATTCTTTCTCCTCTAAATTGCCTTCATTGAATGAGCTTGTTGCCGTTGGATGACATACAAAAAATGTCAAATGTGCAACGTCACGAAGAGAGAAAGAGATAGAAAGAGGGGGGAGAGATTCAGATTAAAATCGAATTAATATGCATGCCTGCGCGCGAGTCCGCTTGGAAGCGACGGTGATGGAACGACGAAATCTATCTACTGCTGCCCGGTGAACAAACCTGTAATTTGTCAGAGCGGTTGGTCTCTAAGCCCCGGCATTATAATTTGCGCCTATGCAGAGAGCAAACTGGAACCAAGCCGAAAACGCGATGAGGCGGGGTGGTGGCGGGAGGCTGACGGGAGAGGAAGAGGAAGAGGAAGAGAGGTTGAATGGGGAGGAGGGAGGGGGTCAACAGCCTCGGACACACTCTTGGCTCGTATACGCGAATCGATCGAGACTGCAGGGAACATCAGAGAGCGGGCTAAGTATTCATGGCCGGCGCGGAGTTTCGGCGGCCGGGCCGAGCCGCCGATGAATTCCTCATGAGGGCCATGAATCTAATGGCGAATCAATCGCGAAATTACCGCCGGCGATGAAACGACGTCCGCCGGAATCGCTTTCGCGACTTCCCCGAAGTAACTTCGAGTTGAACATTTGTCGTACGTTAACGTGACATTCCCGCTAAGTCGTCTCTACAAGGGGAAAGCTCTTGAGGTCTTGAGGCGGACATTCAACTCGCCATTTCGCTGCGATAAGATCTCATTGACACAACGAAACTACTTTTACTACTTCGAGAGATTTCGAGAATTCGAATAATTCCATGAATGATCATTTTATTGCGCTTCTTTACGTTTTCTCGAATGGATGAGAAACGTTTTGAAGGATTTTTATACGACACGACGATAATACGGGATAAACTGGCGAATGTTTTGCGCCACTTTGTCATCGACTTTTCGTTTTTTTCCCCCCTTCCTTCATACAGGTCCTATTACTCCGCAACATTGCGAGAAGGACTCCTCGACGGTTCCTCCGCGGCAAAAAGCTTAAGAGGTCGCGCGGCTGGGAGGAGAGCGCGTCCGTTAAATTACAAAAGGATCGTGGCCCGCGCCACAATGTTTTCCTTCACATATGCCGAAAGGAAGTGTATCATAAGTTACCGGGTGGGGGAGAGGATCTATGACGACGGTTCGGGTCCATAATTCATGCTTTTGTTCGATTCTGTCGGGCATTATTTTAGGTCGCGTCGTGAAATGCTTTCGGGATCGCGGTTTACCGTCCTCCTTCCTTCTTTTCTCCCGGTTATCGGGAGAAAAATATGCCGAGTTTCCTGCTCGCCTCGCCGAGCTTACCGCGGGATTCTAATGCGCGCCACCCTTATTCGACTCGATGGTAATATAAATGGTATAGCGTTCGCGGCACTCGAATCGGGAAAGTGGCATTGGCCGCGTAAGTTGATTTCGTACGCGTGATTTATAACGAAGTGCAGAAAATGTGTTTCTTTTTAACTTTCTTCCGCCGAGAGATTTAGCGACACGACACGCTCGATATTCCTCTGTCGATGTACGTATACGCGAGTTCAAGCACACTTAAAAAGGCTTATAACCACTTGCATCTATCTATATTATTAGGACATTACATTAATTATAAGAACGCGACATATTTTATTTCCTCATTTACTTTTATAATCTTGGTATCAGCGTGCCAAAGTTCGCACGTTCATTGTCAACCTCGGCCGATAATCGCGTGCTCGTAAAGTGTTCGGGGTAAAAAAATGTCCGTTATAAATAACCGAAGGGAGCGTTATCCTTTTCGCGGCGGGCCTTCCCCGCGTGCGATTTTAACGATCCCCCGGGCGCGTCGCGCTTCTCGAAAATCGTCACCCGAAAGCGCATCCCACCTCCATTCGGCCCGTGTGTGTCATTCTTCTGCTGTCCGTTTAACAGCAGCGATAAAACATGCATGTCTAGGCCTCTCGTATAAGAGGCAAAGCGCGCCTTCTCCCGAGGTGCGTCTATACGAGTCTCTGCGAGGCACTTTAAAGTATTTTCGGCAATATAAGGGTTGACTTATGACTTCGCAATTCCCTCGAAAAAAATAGAGTGAGAGATAGATAGATAGATAGAGAGAGAGAGAGAGAGAGAGAGAGAGAGAAAATGTATGTGTGAGTGAGAAACGAAGAAAGAGGAGATATCGGCAGCAAATAGAGGAGAAAGAAGGAGGGAGAGACGCGGGCGAGATGGCGTCTCGAGCAGGACGACCGGGATATTGCATTGTGTTTTCTTTCGGGACAAATGATTTACCGCGTTTCCCCTTGTACATCGCCGCGAGCTACAGCCCCGCAAAAACACGTAAGGGGTTGCAAGAGTCACCAAAAGCGACGACGACGACAACGAAGGGGGTTCGACAACGGAGATAGGAGGGGGGGGGGGCGCTCGGCGAAGAGAGAAAATAGGGAGCGGGGCAACCGAGCCGCACGATATGGGAGGTATTACATATTTATGGGCTTCTGGTCCCGGCACGGAAGCAAATTTCAGGCAAATCTCGGTCGGAAATAACGTTAAAGCCATTGGGACGTAAGGCCGCGCCGTTTTCAAGCGGGCGAATATCCGCGGTGTTCGCCACCGGGATATTATTTTCCGGGGAGGAAACGGCACCGACCCGAACGACGGAGTCGCGACTCACACGCCGTTCTCTTACTGCGTCCCGCAGCTCGGCCCGCAGCTTATTGCGAGTTGTACGTGAAATATCTTTCTTAGCGGTTCCGATTGCGACCATTTGTGCCACGGTATATATTCGCAATTGCCGAGTAGAACGGTAGAAATGGAATAACGTAAAAGCAAATTGCCCCATTGTGTCAAAGACAATTTATTAATTTATATTTGAATTTAGAAGAAATTTTAGATAACTACAATAACAGTTTTATTCAGAAAGAAAAGAAGGATTATAAATGTTAACAATGAATATAGTTATAAATTTAAAAAAATATATAAAATACATAAATTATGCAAAAGATAGCAGCAACATTACCGTTGCATGGTCCAAGTAAAATGAGACATTTGAGAATAATTGAATCGTATTTTAGTAATAATTTTTTAATAGCCTGAGCCGAGTGAATGGAAGTAGTAACGGACGGCGTACCTCCGATTGGTGTCGCCAACTTGCAGCGCACGCTTGTACTACCGCTGCTCGAAATGTGTACTTGAAACTACTATCGCATGCATCA